GCGAGTTTTGCTCCATCCTATGCTAATTTATTTATGGGTTATTGGGAACAAGTTATGATTTTTGCGGACCCATTTTGGATGAGGCGACTCGCCCTTTATCGCAGGTTTATCGATGATATCCTTATTGTTTGGAGGGGTGATTGGAATAAAGTGGAAAATGTTATGACATATATTAATAATAATCATTGGGGCCTTTCCTTCACGTATAAGAAACATAAGTCCACCATTGATTTTTTGGATCTAACTCTTACTGGGGCTGAGGGAAAAATCACTACCAAAACTTATCAAAAAAGTGTGGATGTAAATGGGTATTTACATGCCAAGAGTGGTCACCACCCCACATGGATACAAAATATCCCCTCAGGACAATTTACCAGAATCAAACACAACTGTTCGTTTGTGTCTGATTATGAGAAGGAGGCATTATTGTTATCCCAGCGTTTTTTAGAAAAATCTTACCCCCCGAGGAAAATTCTGAATGCCTATTTAAAAGGGCTTAATCATAATGTGGCACCGCCATTTAATGTCCAAAACAGGAGTTTACTTAGTGGGAATTCTCCCACTCCTACTCCAATTTTATGTTCAGAACAGGAACACCACACTAAAGAGCACTTTATGATACTTGAACTCTTGGGTGGGAGTCATGGCCCCACTATGAAAAGAGCTAAATTTAATATCAGTACCAAAGAGGTGGGCACAGGTATAACACCGATATTTTCCACAATATTTAACAAGGGTTTTGATGATATTATTGAGATTTTGCCCATATTGACCAAGGACCCATGGTTGTCGTTTTGTATTTCAAAGGTCCCCAGGGTCACTTTTAGAAGGGCTCCCAATTTGAAAAATATTTTAGCTCCTTTGAAATTACATCACCACAATCCAGGACACCTGACAGCTACCAAGGGGGACCTAGTCAATAAATGTTGTGGTCATACCAAATGCCTTACATGTGGATATATTTGTCACCAAACCTCTTTGTTCAGTCCTTTTAATAGTACTGAGATTTTTTCAGTTCAGTCATCTATTACCTGTATTACCTCTTTTGTGGTGTATCTTCTTACCTGTCCGTGTGGGCGGCAGTATGTGGGCCAAACGATTAGACCTTTGAAATTTAGATTCTGTGAGCACAGAACAGCTATAATTCGTAATGACATAAGGTCTTCGGTAGCACGGCATTTTGCCACTTTTCATGAAAATAATCAATTTGGCCTTAAACTTATGGGAATAGTGCATATCCCTCCCCATCAGGATGGAGCTAAAAGGAGAAGGGATTTAATTAAGGCGGAATCAGTGTGGATATTCAGGCTCAACTCCATGACACCTAACGGTTTAAATGAGGAGTTAGAATTGTTCTGAATGTCCCCAACATTCTAATTTGGTTCCTACTTTATTATTATTATTATTATTATTATTATTAATATTGTTTTTTGTCCTCTTTCATTTTGGATATAGCTGCAATCTCTACTGCATGTCCTTCATACATATATATTTTTATATTTTTATATATTTGTATATTTGTTGCCTGACTCTAATATAGAGAGTATTTAAATATCTATTTATTTTGATTGAATAGGTTTATATGTTTTTATATTTATTTATATGCATATTTTTGACACTATTATATTTATATTTGTTTTGAATAATATTATGAATCCAGTCCAGGGTTTTCATGTGTTACCCTGGAGGCTACCTTAAACCAGGTGTTCTACTCACCATTCTCCGTCTTGAGAAAGCCCCATGGGCGGGACGAAACGCGTAGACGTGCTGTCTGATCTTCTGACCTGTTGCTGTTGGGAGTGTTTCAAGAGATATTGAGAGCGAGAGCGAGAGTGTCCTTTACTTTGGCGGATTTTTGATGATCCCGGTTGGAGATTGAATTACATCAAGTCGTTGTGGGGAATATGTTTTCAACACACCGCGGTCTTTTGTGAAGATCTCGACCACGGTGCAACGGTTAACTACCTTTGGAGGAATTTTTTCGTTGCCCACAGTGACTTATCATCCCATTGACTCCATCGTACCCTCTCAAGGCTTGTTTTGTTTTGTTTCATCTTTGCTTTGTATACCTTGGTGGGGGGCCCACACCGAGGAAAGGTATATATTTTTGTATCTATTGTATACTGCATCTGTGGTTACATTGTGGGCGGGTGGACCCACAGGCACTTTGTTGTTTGTGCACGGTGTCTGGGGTGGTCTATCCAGCCTATTTTTGTATCCACATTTGTTTGGTTACATTTGCCCTCCCTAGGAGTTAGTTTTTTTGTTACTGAGCAACAGGTTCAGATTATTACGATTTTACTATGATGTTTATTACTCATTTCTACATATAAATTTTATTTTATTTTATTTGAATAAAACACATGTATATTTGTATTTTATTAGTATTTCGTGATTTTAGTTTATTATTGGGCGCACATACTTTTTGATTTTTGAACTCATACTCAGTTATAGTCGCTGGTGGATGTGTGTAGCTGACTATATTTTCATTTTAGTTATATTACACCTTTATTAGTTTTTTGTATGTAATGCCTGTCAAACATCAGCTTGTCTTTAACCCTGTTATATTTCACAGCTATAAATTATAATAAGAAGAGTTATAGGTTAGCATATCTAATAAAAATAAACTTAACAAGGGGGCAGGGCTTGACCTTCGAGCTGGTCGGACAGTTGCAGAACAGGCTCCCACCTAAACGGATAAAATCTGGTTGATACCACTGACCCTCAAGCCACAAAACTAATTTGGGTGCACCACCCATGTTGGGGATGCACAGACGAATTACCCAAAACCACACTTGAGCCTTTTACTGTTGGGAGTCCGACATGCTGCATCGCAGCCTGCTTGAACTGGAGTTGGGGGAGGAGGCCGCTTCTCTCTCCTACACTAATCGTGCAGTCCTGCTGGACATCTATCCCCCCCTTTGGACCAGCAGGAATCATCCTGGTCCCTACTGGCAAGCATTACCTGCGCATAGCTTCAGAATTCAGCTCCGAAAATCAAGATGGCATACGCACTCCTGCCGACTGGGCCTCAAAGCTCATTCCAATCAGCTCAACACAGCTCCTCTGATCACCTCATGCTGCGGCTGGAGGTGCTATTTTAACGCTTTTTGGACAAGCTTTGACCTCAAGGGGAAGCTTCCTGGAGCATGCCTTTACGATGGAGCTGGGGGTAATGGGATTCAGAGGGCGGGAATGTCCCCATCAGGCATCAACTCCATGCAAACACCTAGTCGGCTTCCTCCCAGCGTGTCAAAGTTGAAAAAAAGGGGGCAACCTTCCCTTAATGCAAGTCATAAAACCAAGTGCCTCTAGCTGAATACTGCGGAAGAGAAGGCGTAAGAAGCTGCCGCATCTGTCAGCACCTCTTTCCTCCAGCCCTCACACTTGCTACAACTTGGCACCACACCGGGCAAACGAGTAGGCACACTTCTACTACAACCTACTTGTTTCGTGGTCTATTATCCACGCCTCCAGCTACACAAGATCTGCGGTCACAAGACATAAGGTCTGACCAAATATCAAGAAGTCATCCAATGGAATGTATTCCTATATTATCTGCGTACCTGGGCACAGTGGAGCGGCGCCATCGGGGTGCCAGAGAGACTTCCTACAAACACCTTAACTATCCCATCTATGGGAGGCAGCTGATTCCTGGTCAAATACTTATTTTATGTTCCCCTCTGTTGTAGACAGACGCCATAATTTGTGTCTTACCTCCTGGCCTCGCAACTGATCACGATTTTCATATCTCTTCTATGGGGCAGCAGCCTAATGTTAGACCTACTTCCAGTGATTTTACTGTTTGTTTTAGTTTTACTCTATAGCATGTTATCCTGATATCTTTTTATTTTTATTTTTTATAAAGCATATATACCATGCTATCGGATATCTACTTATATGCTACTGCATCTTTACTACACTTTGTACTCATGCTTGTTTTCTCACTCCTTGCTATCGCTGAAATACATATGTATGTTTAGCTTGTTTCTATACTCAAAAAATTGTGCAGTACATTAGAGCACCATGTACCTTTTTATTGTCATTATCTGTACTATTATGTATAATTGTTGTCGATGTTGTGGCGATCATTGCGTGCCTGTAACTGCTTGCACAACAACAAAAAAGAATAAAAAATAAAAAAAAGTTGGATAAAATATATATTTATAGGGTATCAGTGGCAGTTGCCTTTGTTATAATATATATAAATAACGCACACAAGAACATTTTAAATACATTGCCTCCCAGTCCACATCAGTACTATTATTGTAGAATGTTAATGTCTGCAAAGCTGTGAGTCAGTCAAGATATGTTTGATGGAGACCTGGAGCTCCTATTAACTTCAGGAGGTCTTAAGTGTCCGACTCAGCTGGAATCTGGAAACTCGTTAACTTCAGTTCTCAGAAGAATTTAGAGGAACCTACAGATTGTCCTCATAGATCACATACTGAAAGCAGCAGCATGCAACCTTCTAAACTATGTTGACAAATGTAATGCTCATCCTGAAAATTGTATTCTAATTTAAAATATAGAAACATTATATCACGTGTATTCACGAGCACAAGAAAGGTACACAACAGATATTTACATGATAAATCTAATCACCCATTTTATTTTAGAAAAAAACAGACGGGGCACATTTGTATGTACATAGATACATCCAAAAGACTTGCATTCGTGCACTGACAAAAATACTTAGGGCCAATGCTCAAATCCAGAAGTTTAAGTAGAATAGAAATAGAAAAATGGATAGCACTCCAGGACTTAATATATAAAATAAAATAGCCAATGGTTGTATAGGCTAGTCATGTAGAACAGTTTATGAACAGTCTCATAGCCTGTGATCCTGAGTTATTCGGAAGTCCTACCAAACTTTGAGGGGAACAAAAGCTTCAGCAGCCTCAGGTTTGTTGATATCCAGAATTACAAATTGGTGAATTTTGACACATTCATCAACCTTAAGAGAGAGCAAGGGTGTAAGGCCGGGTAAAATACTTTTTTTTAGAAACAATGATGTCGGGGTGTGTTATTATGATCTAAAACGTAACCTTAGCGGGATTCTACCGTGTAAGGAATACAAAGCTGTATTCTGACGGGGGTCCCTAATGCGCATGTGTGGCTTCAATGCTTTTCTGTGGGGATTTAACTGGCGCTGGATTTCCTCATGCAGAGCATGAGGACGTCCAGCATCTGTGATGCGACCTAAAGTTGCCTAGCCATCAGGATGTGCCTCTAGTGGCTGTCTGTTTCTCTAAAACTGCAATGATTTACATTGCAGGACTAAGTGGGACAGGGGCACTGCACCCTGACCACTTCAATGAGCTGAAGTAGTCTGGGTACCTAAAGTGTCCCTTTTATCTTATCTCAAACCAAAAAAGGAAGATATCTTCCGTTTATTTGTTATGGAAGGTAAGACAAATAAAATAAACTATGCCACAAGAAGAAACAAATAAATAGCCGGATCCCAAAGGGGATCACCAAACGAGGGGATCACCAAACGAAAGTATCCATGGAAATAAGTACAAAAATGACAATTATTTTATTGATCCACTAAAAAATATATAAAGTTGCCAGCAACCGGTGAAACATGGAGGAAAGAAAAAACTGTTTAACATGTTTCATACATATATGCATTTAATTAGACTTTGTTCTCCTTTGGAGTTCTGGCTATTTATTTGCTTTTTCCATATGGAGGTGCACACATGACTCCCTGGGACCCGGGACAGGCACAACTTAAAGGTATAAATTAAAAATCACACTACGCAATCAGTCTATGCTTGGGTTCTGCCATTCCCTGTGTTTTATGTAACAAGAAGACTCGTAAAAATCATTAAAAGTAATAAAAGAACAACATGCTTTTTGAATATAAGTAGTACTAGAAACAGCAGAAAACGCAACACTTTAATAAAATAGAAAACATAAAAAAGCCAAACAAAGAACCCTTTGTGTTACCATGTCTTGAAGATTATTTCAGTGCTTGCTATTTTCTTCTTCAATAAAATAATCACGCAGCGTGAGGACTGTGATTATCAGAGGCAGGCTTATATTTCCATAGCATGATCACAATTGACATTCTGGACAGAAAACACTAGAGATTATCTATAAATGTATTCAGATCACTGTCTTCTTTGTTGTGTGTTGTATATCCGTGTGATAATTCTACTCTGCATTGTGTTTGAGATCGAGTTCAACGATACTGCTATTTAGGGCCAATTCAGAATAGGAATAGCAATAGAGCTGGCATGAATGAATAACTTTAATCAGCTGTGAAGCACCATAATTCACTTTAACAGTAATTTTACAAGATGTATAAAATAAAAGCTAATTATATCATAAATTGGAGGAGCTTTTAATATGCCACAATACCAAAAGCCAACACAATTTTGTATAACAGCATTATATTAAAACAATCGCACCCTGAGCAAAGGGTGGTTTAAGTCATATACACGGGCCAAAACCTTCGGTTTCAGAGAGATGACGTTGGGCCAAAAATATTCAGCTATGCAGTATTTCAAAAAAACAAGCTGGATGAAGTCTATATAATGTTTTTCAGCTTTTGGATTTTTTTTTTTATATTAAAGGGTCACACAATATGATAACAATTTGGTAATAGGAGATCCGTGTATGCTGTGTAATTAAAAATTGCTTAAGAACACTACATTAGAAATGGCAAGTAACTCCTCTCCTACTACATACAGGTGGCTTCGGAGCGTTAAAATCTTTTTTTTAACCTCCACACCTTTAGAAAGCGCCAAGATGCAATAGAGCTAAAATCCAATAACTACCCAAAACACATACCTACCCCCCATGGCTTGCAATACCAATGATGAAGAGACCGTCATCATGGCTTCCATCTCCGTAACCCCCTACAATACCAACCTTGCACTACGGGAGGTTTATCTACCACTACACCGAGTCTACGAATATGAACGTGTTATTGCCAATGCTGATGTGTCTTCTAATTCCTCCGACACAGAACATTTTTGTGTATGTACGGATGTTACTTGATGTATCTTGCAATTACCCGATTTTACTGATGTGCTCACTACCTTTAATGTTTTTACTTTATTCTGTAATTTCTTACCTCGACATATAAAAATTGAAAAACCTACAAAATAAAGAATTTATAAAAAAAATAAAAAAATTGCTTAAGCAACCCAAAGTTCTAGAATTTATGTTATGGAACATTGCTGTACGCACGGGATGTAGCAGTGTCCCAATGGTTGCTATAAACCTAGTTAGCAATTCACTCATCCGATCTGATGGGTGGACATGCAGCTGGGTCTTCAAGACACTTCCTTCTCTTAAATATAGGAAAACAGCACACAGAAAAAAAAAATGAAGTGAAAAAAAAATTAAGAATTTCAGCACATAGGACTCTGATTTATATTTAACAAACTCACAAGTCCTGAAGCATAATAAATAAATTGTTAAACAGATGTTTTGGTCACATTATGCATCCCATCTCCAGACTAAAACAATTATGAAAACTACCACCTTATAGATCCTCTTGCCATTAGAAAACACGCTAACACCCATGGATGTAGTGTCATGATGTCTAACCAATCATGGTGTGGCCATTAACCAGCTGTCACATTCCAGCTGGCCCAAATAAGTAAGTAAGATCAAACATGAAATAACGGGCCCAGAACTGGAGAATACCAGTATTTGTTAAAACTCAAGTTATAAAATGAAAAATGTGAACGGAAGCTTAAAGGGGAAATATCACAAAAAATTTCTTTGCATAGATCATCGAATATAGTATGCCGCTGTGCAAATGGCGATAACCTTTAAGTTTAAAATACATTGGAGTTTGCATTCGCAAGTAGTGCATATCTCAGAGTTCCAAGTAGACAGGCAATAACCAAAGCATCTTAAGATCTTTCAAAATAATTTTAAATAATTTTGCATAGTTCTGTACATTTATATGTGCTACAACAAATCAAAAAGTATTTTTTTATGAGGTTATGTTACAGCTATGTGTTGATGCTGCTTGTCATAGATATTCCAAATCCAACTACAGTCAAAACAGTGACAAGCGACCGTAATGGTGAGAATACATTCCTCAGTGTAGCAGTGGAGTTTACAATAGATGTTGAAAAAATAAGCTCTATTGGATCGAAAAAAACTAATTTGCAAAATTTAAAGCAAAGCTGCCAATTTAAAAAAAAAAATAACACGATTTGGGGAACTTTAAAAATGCAGTTACTGTTTTCTTAAAATGTTTGCAAATATATATATGAAAAAGAAAAACGTTAAAACATACTTAGCAGACTTTGGTAAATGCAATTGTTTCAAACACATGATAAATAAGTTGAAAAAATAGTATGACAAACAAACCACAGATATAAAAATTTGCCATTTAATCAATATATTAAACCAATAGCTTTTTGTGATAGACATCTTTAGGTGCAATATTTCTATCTATCTATCTATCTATCTTTCTTTGCTAAAGACTCTAGCCATGGAATTATTATTAAAGTCACTATTGCGAATAAGCATAAAAGCCTCTGTGGCTGTTACTCGTTCAGTCAATTCCCATGGATCTATTCTGCTTATCAGTGACACTTGGTTACTGTCCATTCATTATGTAAATTTATGCAAATTATGTGATTATTGAAGGACCTGACAGCTGTCTTGAAGCTATGAGATAGGACAGAACTGAGATTCACAGGCTGGTATTGCCCCTTGACTTATGAGATAAGATTCCTGTGGAGAAGGCTGCCACAAAAGGTTAAGGAAGGTTCCTGCTTATGCATCAAGACAATACATGAATTCTTCACAATAAAAATATGTCTTGAGACTAAGTGTAGCGATATGATAAAGCACATTCCAGAACATTTTCAGATGTTATCTACGGGAGGGAAATCCTCATCATGCTTGTGAACAATACTGGATTAACGTTTCTGCCTCAACAGGCAATGTGAAGTTAGATACATTGCAGAGAGATTAGATACAATGCAGAGAGACACCTAACACATCCAGCAAAGTGTAATACTATCTTCCAGAGACAAAACCCAGCTATTGTACTAATGAGATATTTTATGGTTAACACAAACACCTGGATAGCGATAATATATTTGAAAAAGACAAATTAATGAGGTTGGACTAAATGTAAAACATATGAAAAATAGGTTAGATATTATGAAATATTCTTTTAATGGTATTTAGAAGGACATTGGGTCATACATCTTTGGGTTCCAAACAGTTGTCAAAAAATGGTGGGTGATGCTAGGTCAAAGCATGTGCTATTGTTTATTGTTAAATTGAAACATGAATGACATCATCTGCTGACATTACAAGCTGGTTGAGTGTGCTTGTCAGACTGGACAGCAGATGGAGCTGTTCTAGTTGTACATAGTTATAAACCCTGTATGCCCATTTGTGACTGTGATTAATCAGTTTGTTGTTTGGCTTCTGATCTAATCCCTTTTGGTTCTTATTACCAGTAAAGCTTATTGCACTGCATGCATAATTAACCAGCTAAACCAGTGGTACAGTTAGCCATCCTAAAAATTGCAAACGTTAAAGAGACACTCCACTGCCCAAATACAAAAACATACAAATCACTGTTTCGTAGATACCCCCAATGAATTTGTGTGCATTTAATTATGCATTCTTCTATATGTAAAAACTTTTTGCAAACCCTCCTCTTCTACCCTAGCCCAGACTTTCTGTAGCTGTCCAGTAACAGACTTCCCAATGTAGCTCTATGACAAGTCCTTGCCAGGCAGGTGCTCTGTACAATTGCTGCCTCTTGAGTTTAACTCCACTGAGTTAAACAGCCAGGAAGTAACAGTTACTTTAGTGGCAGCCAGGGATGGGTAAAATATTAATTTAATTAATTAATTAATTAATGAAGACTGCCAATTTATATTAAAATCTGAACTTTGTAAGCAAGCTAAAATGGTGAGTTAAAATGGTGAGTTAAATTAGACAACTACGCTATTGTCCCATACAGCACATTGTCCCCAAATGTGAGGAGACTATATAGCCTGTTTAGTACTGTAACCATTCAGAATCCTATCAGATAACCATCAATTCAATTTTGCATTATACAAATTAAGTACATTCTTTATTAATCCCACAAACATTGCTAAATTCATACTTCATAACATCTTGCAAATTAATCTTTGGTGATATAGTTGACTTTATGCCATACAACCTCAAATTAACTTTGATGTACTCATGTTATCTAGGATACATTTACAATTAATCAATAACTTTAACAGCTGAAATAAAAACACAAAATAACGTGTGATCTCTCTCATTTTGAATGGGTTGGGGTTGATAACAAGTCAAATACATTTAATGCTTTATGATTTCCGTCAAATTAAATATAAAAAGTAGAACTTGTATTTATGTGTTTTATTACCCCTTCTACATTATATATTTAATGCGCCCCATTTACCATATAATGCCAACATAATTTGATTCATGATGACTATATCCACCTTCTAGAATGTTAAAGGGACACTATAGGCACCTAGACCACGTCATTTCATTGAAGTGGTTTGGGTGCAGTGTCAATGTCTGTTTAAAGGAAAACAAACTAATTTTCCTTTCACTATAGATTCCCCCTTTGTAAACCTTCCCCCCTCCCGTGGTGCAGAAGGGGTTAAAAACCCTTTCTGTCACTTACCTGGGTCCAGCACATATGCCACTCGGCACTGGCTCAGTTCTGCCTTCTCTCCTGACGTTGGTGGGGGAGACCTAATGCGCATGCGTGGCAATGGCCACGCTCGCATTAGGATTTCCCCATAGGAAAGCATTATTCAATGTTTTCCTATAGGGTTTTGGGCAAGGCTGGACATCCCCATGCACAGCGTGAGGACGTCCAGCATCAGTTCGCCGAACAGCCCGGAAGTCCCTCTAGTGGCTGTCTGGTAGAGGAGGAGTTAACCCTAGCAGGTAATTATTACAGTATAATACAATAATTACCTGCTCAGGGTTAAGGGACCTAGGACAGTGCACCCAGACCACTTCAATGAGCTGAAGTGGTCTGGGTACCTATAGTGTCTCTTTAACCATGCAGTGTAAATATTGCACTTTTTTAGACATTGTAATGATTACATTGCAGGGTTAATTCCACCTGTGGGGCCCTAACAAACTTTGTTAGATGACATCTTCAAATTCCCCATGGGAAAGCACTGATTTAATATTTTCTTATGAGGAAGCTTTAATACGATGCATGTACATTAGATGGTACCATTGCTGTTACGTTACAGTATGAGGAGACCCAGCCAGCAGTGGGGGAGCCTTGGCGCTGGAGAGAGGTTAGTTAAAAAAAGTTTTTTAACTACTTAATCAAACACAGGGGGTCTTCAAAAATAGTGACAGGAACACTAGTCCTAACACTACTGTGTTCCTTTAAATAAAGCAGGTCTATAAAGCAGCGAGTGATGACATTGGTTAGCAAAATACTTACAAGAATCCGCTCATAGTTATTCTAAAGTGATTTTATTTTTAAAAAAGTCGAATATAATACCAGATGAAAAAGGAGTGCTTTATGAAACAGCACTTCATATTGTACAAGGCTGCATGAACCACCTTGGGGACAAGAACTATTTTGGATGTTTTGCCATTTTTGTTCAAATGTCATTTTCCTTATTCACTACATTGAGTATACAAGGGAGATTAGGAGAAAATATAGTGCGGAAAACAGAAGAGGTAAAGGAATAGAGAAATGTCAGGCTTAAAAGGACACTATATATACCTACTTTATCTCAATGGGTTGGTGTAGGTGCAGTGCCACTGTCTGTTCATGACAATGCTTACATTGGATGTTTAACACACCTCTGGTGGCTGTCTTCCTCACATCACTACAGGCACGTCCTCTGCTACTTTCTCTGCAGTATGTTATTGGCTCATGGTGGCATTTTGTTGCGCATGCACACTAGCCTCCCAGTGCTTCCCTGTGGGGATGTATTCCATTACCTGAGATCGTCAACATATGGAGTGGAAGCAAGGAACACCTACAGTTGTAATCAAAATTATTCAACCCCCATTGAGAATCAGGTTTATTATGTACCGGCTTTCAGCTGTTCGCAATGAACAAATTAAACAAAAGCAATTGAAATACCTCAACACAACGAATGCTTTAAGTGGTTTCCACCAAATTCAATTGAAAATGCAAAGTGTGTCCCCTCAGCCCATTTGTGTGTCTATCTCTACCTCAGCTTCTTTGGTCAGCAGTTGGAGGTGAGGTTGCCCCTGCAGATCTCACGTGGGCTGCACCTTGATGTCTGGCAGGCCACATTAGGCCGCTTGTTGGACGCCTCAGCCTAAGGAAATCTTTGAGATTGTTATCAGAATGAGTCCTTTCTTACAACATACTTTGTTGACACACTCAGCGATTGCTATCATAATGTAATTTGCTATACGATTGGTTTGTTGTCTATCTAAACATTGTCCTGTAGTTATCCAGTAACTCCATATAGCAACATCCATTAATTAACACATACATATTAAACATTTGAAATAATGTTCTACATATGAGTTGCCAGGTGTTTATCAGTTAGTGTGATATTTTAAATGTTAGGCTAATGTGCTGGCTGACTTACATTCTATGATAATGAATAAGAAAATTATTCCATCCAGAAGTTATTCGGAGGAGACGGGAGAGAATTAGAAATTTGCTAGTCTAAAAAGTAGTTCAAAGTACTAAAATTGGGGCAATCACCATGTAAACTAGTGGAACCAACAGGCAGATTCCATTGATGATCCTCCCATTTTTGCATTACTTCTTAGAACAGAACACTTTAATACAAAAGTGTTGTATGTTAAGAAACGTTCTATTGCTTTTTTATTGTGATTGCAGCTATTTTAGCTATCCCCCGCCCCCCTCTCACCCCCTGAATTGCTTTTCCCTTGGCAAATAAGGTGTTTCATATACACTGTAACAAGGGAATTGCATAACCAGAGCCAGCCTGTGCATAGGTTCCGATGAGCCCCAGGCAGAACTTTGACAGGGACATAATTTTGCCGCCCCTTTACAGGCAGAACTACTGCCGTAGCAGTCTGTGCAGCTGTATTGGGACCTACGGGATTTGTGGGCCCATTGGGTAGCCCTTCCACTTAGGGCAAATCTGATAGGCAAGCAGATGTGCAGCGGCCCTCTAGCATATCTTTTGTGAAGCTCATCAACTGTTTGCCTCACATTCCTTGGTCTTACCCTTTGTAATAAATGAATAAGGGAATTTGTGTTACTTCATATTCATACCCCTGTGAAACAGGAAGTCATGATTAAATAATTTCCTGTTTATAGTCACACAGGTGTACTAAATAAATGTAAATATCTATGGGAATATAAATACAAAAAGATAAGTCCTGCGCTCACTCCCATCACTCCTTGACGTTGGCAGGCGGGCATTCCCTCCAACGGCCATTGGAGTAACTAAATGACCTCCATTTGTTTAAATATACATAGGGATTTAGCAGGTAGCCTTTTCTTTGATCTATGGGAATATACTTCAGATATAATATTCTCATATGAATTCATAGGGGCGCCAATAATTGTGCCACACATATATTTAACAAAGATTTTTTTATTAAACCTGTGTTGTTTTTGCATTTGTTTGATATCCATAAGAGCAGAGTATTTTTGTGCATTTTTTTGAACAAAAGACAATTTTTCACAGCCTTCTTTGCCCATATTTACCAAGGGGTGGCAATATTAGTAGAGGGCAGTATGTGTGTGTGTGTGATTGTGTGTCTTAGTATGTGTGTGTGTGTGAGTGAGTGTGTGTGTGTGTATGTGTGTGTCCCCTACTGTGACCTGGTGCTATGCAATCAGATATACTTTATTTTCAACTGCAGGAGCTATTTGTTGTTTGATATTCACATTACCTGTTCCTCGGCTTTTTAATGTTCGTTTGAAAACTGCATTGCAACATCTAGCACCAGAAATGTGATTTAATTCAAGGTTTGTTTTCTTGGAGACAAAAAGGATCTTTGGGTGTTACTTCACTGGCAGTCTTGACACTGATGTGTTTTGGCTCTCACTGAAGACAAACTACCCACATTAGATGCAATGGCATTAACATATGTTAATGGTGTAACAAACTCAGCAGATGTTGAGCGCCGTTTCTCATTGCATAAGCTGATTTTCATTTGCAGGAGGCGCTCACTGTGAAATAAAAAAAAAAAAATGAAAAATCTGAGCTGATGTTTCTTTATTTTAATCAGCATATTTTTCTGTGTTGTCATTGCAGATGAGGATGAATTACCAATTGGCTTTTGTGACATGGAGTCATGGTACATTCATTTACCCTTCATCTGCTTCAGGAGGCCCGAAGAAATTCTTCTCACTCCCCGTCTGCCACCCAAAGAATCTAGTGGAAAATAATGCAACAATTATGTAATCTTTCAACTATTAATAAGTATTGATGTATTATATTTGTCGATCCCACTTTCTGAACAGAATAACACATGTAGAGCAACCTTAGTATACCTGGACTTATTTTCGGTAATTCTTTTATCCAGGTGGTAGTCTATTTTTTAAACCTTTAAGTTTTATGTATGATTTGAGGATGTCCAACTATGAGCATCTACCAAAGCTCTCCTAGGACTTGTTTCTCCATTGTTGTAATCAGGGCCGGCCCATCCATAGACCACCATGGCTCCAGGTGGCACTTTGACAGAGGCGGCATTTTTCCACCCCTGACATTATCTAACACAAAAGTACCTAACCTGTGGTGGCGATGCAGCTGTGTGAAGGTCCATTGGGTGGCCATTGCCCTTAGGGCCACCCGATGGACATATGCAGTGAGGGGCCCAGTCGTGTGCTGCAGCGTTTTAACAGCGCGACTGGGCCCCTTCTATCCGCATGGAGAGCTGGGAGGAAGTGACAGCCTTTCACTTCCTCCCAGCTCACATACTGACAGTGACACTGACCACAGGAGGAGGGAGCCAGACCTGGAATGATGGGCCCGGTCGCAGCTGCAACCCCTGCGACCGAGGTAGTTCCGCCAGTGTACATAAAAAAATGTATGCTCTTTATTAACAAATACTACAAGGTATGTAATAAATTTATTACTTTGCATGTGGTCTTCGGATAAATCTTGTATTTTAATGCGGCCCTTCGGATTACCTAAGGTTGGACAGGTCCCTGTATGCTGTATAGTGTAAACATTGCCTTTTCTTGAAAAAAAAAGTCTATGTTTACACTTCTACCTAAGGCCACAAGAGGGACTTCCTCTAAATTTCTTTTAAATTCAATAGTCAACAGTGTTGTTTGTTATTGCATTGTCACGTATACGAGAGCTGTGTGTTTGGCCGCTGTAAGGACTGACAATACGGACCATCTTTGCTGTCTATTTCTAGTGGGTTTTGGTTTGCGAGTTTGGGTCTTCAGTTACGGTGACATGTATGAAATAACTTTAAAGACTATCACAGAGCAAGCTGTAAACCTGCAAAAGATTCTACTTTACCTATTACTTATATAAACACTCAATAAAACATGGAAAAGTTCCTTTCATTTTAAGAT